ATAGTATATACACACACTATATATGTATACACACACACACACACACACACACACACACACACACACTATATATATATCCACTGAAGAACAGAGCTTGGAAAGACATGAAGAGTTATGCTAGTGACAGTATTGGTTAAGTCAGCATTGAAATTCAATGCAATTCCAATTAAAATCCCAGTAAAATTTTTCTTGGAACTTATCGAGCCAAACTGACCCAGGAAAAGAATATGAAAAACTTAGCAAAGAGAATCTGCAAAAGAACAATGTTGAAGGTCCTTGTCTCAGTTATAAAAGCACATTATAAAAGCTATGGTAATTAAGTGCATAGTATTAATTATACACCTTTTACATGACTAAGAATTTAGTTTGTGATAAAAAATAATTCAAATAACTGAAAAAACATTTAAAAAGAAGACTGAAACAAAATTAGTTTCTGAAAAAAATTACCACGATTCTTAAGTTTAAACTTATAAGCTAAACAAAAAATAAACATTTAAAAGGAAATTTTTTACGTAAAAACAGAAGAGGGTTGTGTCACATATACAAAGATGAGCATACAGAATTTATAAAGAACAAGAAATTGATGCCCCAAAATTGGGCAACAGAAAAAATATAAAGGACTCTTATCCACAGAATCAATGGCTCACAGTAATCAGAGAAATACAAATTATAATACCAATGTGATACCATTTTTTCACCCAGACCAGCAGAGGTTAAAGGCTGGTAACAGTAAGTGTTGTACCATATATAGACAGCAGCAATACAAGAAAAACCAGAAGTATTTACTATACATACACATATACGCACACATGTGCATGTGCGCACACCCACGCGCGCACACACACACAAGACTGCAGATGTAAACAAAAAATGAGGTATTTCTGAGCTTGTGACTTAGATTTGGGTTTGGTCAAAGGGAATTTTGGTTTTACCCATACTGACTGACAGTTCTTGCGAAATACAAATAAAGGTAGAAGAATTTTAAAGAAAAAGGAAAAGAAGTATTTTGACTTACATGCATAGTGTGGTCCATAAATTCTTTCCAGTTTGTAGTGAGTAGTCCAAAAATTGTGTATTTAGAAATTTTTACAACAATTGGACAGAATTTTTGATTATTCAATCTAATAAAATCTGAACTTACAGTTTTGTATATATTTCATTTTATAGTAAATTTGTTTATTTTACGGTGTAAAGTGTATGTAATGAATCGTTTTTTAAGTCTTTCAGTTTGAAAAGCACTCAAGTCCACAAATGTACAGGATTTGCTTGGCACAGTAAAAAGCAAATATTAATTCAGAGTAAAACAAACTCTGAGTGAGGCATGCTTTGTAATCCCACAATTGTGGTAAGCTGAGGTAGGAGGGTTGAAGGTTTAAGTTCAGCCTGGGCACTTAAGACTATCTCAAAATAAAAAATGAAAAATAATTTTAAAAATGGGGATGCAACTCTGTGCAAAGGCCCTGGCTTCAATCCCCAATAACTCCAAAACGAACAACAAAAAATAAACAAGTAATTAGAAACTTTTGTTTGTGGTCCATTTACTTAACTAGATAGAAGAGTAGGATTATAATTGTTCAGTGTTCTAACCCAGGGGTTGATAAAGGGCTAAAATAAGCATTTTAGGTCTTGCAGGCCACAACAGTTTGTCATACTCAACTTTTCTGCCACAGCATGAAAATAGCTACAATAACACATCAACTGAAGTTTATACTGTTATGGTAAAACTTTAGAAAAAAGAAGGGATCAGACTTAGCCTGTGAATCATAAATGGCCAACGTCTGGCTTAAGCATCTCTGAAAACTCAGTGTGAGAACATGAGTGTTATAATACTGATTCATTAAAGTTAACATTTCTTCTCTACAACCTTCTAATATTCCCATCACTACTAAAACACAAGAATGAAATCTCTGAATTTCAAGTTCTGTGCCAGCCTTTGAAGTTACAGCTATGATTATAACAAAAGTCCTATATTTTGCATACTTGATACATCCCTGGACTCCTCTACTACATCTGTATGAAGGATCTGGGTCATGTACCTGTTCTAAAGACCTTGGAATGATTTTATGGCTTTTAATATGTATCTACTAGCACACATTCTCCAATTACACAGATCAAAATTTCTCTAATGCATCTTTTTTTTTTTGGTACCGGGGATCAAACTTGGGTCCTTGTGCTTTGTGCTAGCAAGGCAGGCGGTGGAACCACTGAGCTAAATCCCTGGCTCTCTAATGCATCTTAACTACATGTTGCCATGGCTAACTCCTATTATATTTTAACAAACTTTCAAATCAGAATGCAGTCCATAAAAAGTACCTTGGTGAATATTTATTTCTATCAGTTACCCAAGTTCCTGTCTAAACTCCTAAAATATTATGGACTCTTTATGCAAAGCTAAAAGTGCACATTTTATGGTAAATTCCACACTGGTCTACAAATTAAAAGACATGCCTATGGTTAAAAAAAGAGATCGACAGCACATTTCCCTATAGGTTTTACCTTCAGTATTAAAGTATCTCATTGAAAGCAAGTATGCCACATTTTCCTACGCTAGCTAAGAGTATACTTGTTCCTTAGACCAATTAAAAGACCTGTGAAGAGATCAAAGATTGAAAGGACAGGCAGAAGTACATAAATTCTCTAGAAGACTCTAACCCCTAATATCCTACAGGGAACAGAAAGGACAAGATCTGCAAGACAACACACTAGTGAAGGTCAGATCTAAACAATGACCGAACTACTATTACGGTGTATAATCTCACTGGAAGAGTACAATCAATTAAAAAATATACGGCTTATGAGGTAGCAGTTTTCCCCGGATGAACAAACTTTTACCAATGAAATGATTTACTACTGTGAGGGCCAGGCACACTGGGTAACGAACTATTCTTGAATAACTATCACATCTACTTACGTCACCACATTAAGTGCAAGCTCGGCAGAGTGACACCGCTCCAGCTTCTGCTTCAGAATGGCAACTTCTTCAGGTCTGGGTGGCTCATACTTTTTTACTAAGTTTTTCATGCCTGTGGAGATGGAAAGGGTTTACACTAATAAACATCCTGCTTTCATAGTAAAGGGAGCCAAACAATACTCTCCGATCTTGTTACAGAACACAAGAAAGAATCGAGACGACATGCTTGTTCTTATCAGTCTGCAGCATTCTGGACTTGAATCCAAGAAGCAACATACAATTACTCTGAAGTAACACGGCTATCTACCATCTCTCCCGTACCACATACAGCATAGACAAGCCTGATGTATCATTTGGTCAGCATTATTTTTTTGCAAACACTGGCATGTTCATACTTTTTGCTCAATCTCAAAGATGTTTTTTTCTTTCTGGTACTGGGGAGTGAATCCAGCACCTTCACTTTGAGCTATATCCCCAGCCTTTCTTAGTCTCTGTAGAATTTGAGACACAATCTCACTAAGGTGCCCAACCTGGCTCTGAATCAGCAATCCTCCTGCCTCAGCCTCCTAGTTGCTAGGACTACAGGTGTGTGCCACCCACTCGACTTCTTTTTAAATCCCTGTATGATTTAGTGAACATACTTTATTCTCTACTAACCACATGCGTATGCGTACTATTCTACCCTACAGATTACGGGCCAAGAGTATACTTCTTATATACAGTAGAAACTTCTATGTTATGTATAGAGGGGATAGAAAGGGCTGTTTCACATGGCAAAAGCATGTCAGTGATTTTTTGGTTTAACAAAATATGGATCATATACATTTTAAAAGTAAGCTACTGTACTAGTAACTATAATTACAAAAAAACCTTTTAGCTGATCTTGTCAATCAACTACCATAAACCAAAGAACATATGTCTCAAGATTTTGAAGGGAATGATGAAAGACCTAGGACTCACTGCAGCCATGGGCTGGGTAACTATATTAATGACATTTCATAATACAAATAAACAATGTTTTCAACTGAATTAATTCTTTAGATTTAACATCCTTATGACAATGTGTTCCAAAAAAGATGGTTATCTTAATATTGTCAAACCTCTGAATCTTTTATGAAAAGCTATTATTTCATATTAAAAATGGAGTAAAAGTACTGAGGAATCAGTAATAAAACTGTAAGCTTTAAGTGAGTACAGTGAATTAAGTCTTTTACCTACCAAATTCTGTGATCCTAGTATCTAAGGCCAAACTACAATTAGCCTTGACAGTGAGCCCTCTGGTGGTCAAAATGAAGCCCTACAGTTCATGTGTAACTGGCTCCACTGTTCTCCGGAGGGAAGGAGGCCCCCAGGATCGCCTGGGGCGGAGAATCAAGACATGAAAACTACACGTTCTGAAACAGCCTTTTAAAAACTAAAAACACCCCAACTTTTATCCAAAATCAAGCTCTGCAATCTTTTACTGTTTATCTAATAACTGATTAAAATATAAGGAATTTAAATAATAACAGGCACAAAAAGGTTTGGAAAAAAACACAACTGATCCAATTTTAGCAGCCCAGCAGTGAGAAGCATTCAGTGTGGCACAGGTAAGAGCTACCAAGGGTGCCGGTGCTTGCACTCACTCTTTGAGGCAGTCTCAACACGGCATTTTCAGCTGGAGAATTATTTGTTGTAAAGGGTTTTTATACTATTAGTTTCTTGAGACTGCTATTATCACAAACTTGGTATTTTAAAATAACCAAATGCATTCTCTCAGTTTTGCAGCCCAGAAGTTCCAAATTGGTTTTACTGGGCCAAACGCATGGTGCCCGCATGCCATGCTGTGTTGGCACACAAAATCCACCCCTTCTTCTGGCTTCTGGTGGCTACCTGCATCCTCTGGCTCATGGCCACATCATTCCAAATTTCAAGGCCAGTGCCTCTGAATCTCTCTGCTCTCTTAACATAGCCTTCTCTGGCTGTGTCAAATTTCCCTCTACCTCTCTCTCACAGGGATGCTGGTGACTACATTTGGATCTCACCCTGGTAATGCAGGTTGATGGCAACATCTCCAAATGCTTAACTTGTCTGCAGGAACTCCCTGCCCCTTTTTTTTTCAATTTAAAGTAACATTCCTAGGCTCCAGGGAAAAGGACAGAGATCTCTTTCAAGAAACCACCCTTCAGCCTGGCACAGGGACTGTCCTGTGTACCAAGCAATGTGCAGCAGCATTTGTCTCGCCACCTACTAGAGGCTGGCAGCAACTACCAACTCCTAAATTGTGATGGCAAAAGATGTCTCTGAACTGCAAAATCACATGTTCAAGACCACGGCTTTTTGTATTACCAACTAATGTGACAAGCAACTGACATGTATTAACTACTTCAAACTGATTTAATCTCCAAAGTACAAGTTCCAAATTTAAACAATATTTCTAAGTCAGCCCCCTCAGATGTACTTCCATTCCTGTTTTACATTTTTGTATACTTTTAAAGAATTTTGGTGTAGCTCATTAAACTCTCAAATCTGATCTTCACTTTGATGTACGTGTAAACACTATTTCCCTCCATATGCATTTTTTGTTCTCTATCAATTTATCTTTAATACTTCTATGAAGTATAGATAGTCCTCATTTAATGACCTACCTGTTTACTGTTTGGACTTAAAACCCAATGTCTGGACTTAGGATCTTTCTTGTGCACAGTTCTGTACATCTTATTATTAGGGCCTTCGTGTCTTTTTCTTTTTCTTGTTTAAAGAGTACTATACATTTTGCTGATTGTACTGTACAGTACTGTAGTTTTATGTTGTTATGCATTACAGTACTGCATATTAGAGTTATGCAAATAAAAGCAAAGTCATCAAGTTGGAGTTTTCTTTGACCATTTGTTTTGAATATTATAATGAATATAAATACTATTAATCCCCATTCAGCAGCCAATCCATTTAACAACTTACTTGCCAGAATGGGAGCCCAGTCTTAAGACGAGGAATGTCTAATAATAAAAGTCTTCAAAAAACTTAGGTTATTTCAAGTTAAATATCAAGGCATTAATTAGAAAATAGCTTTGTATTTTGTTTTACTTACTTTTCATTATATCTAATAACTGTGACAAGCAAGTTCTACTTTCTCGCAGCATTAGACTCTCTGATAAATAACTGATAAAAAAAGGAAAAAATTAACCTATTGAAAGCATACAGCAATGAGAAACATGACATTATAAATTGTTTGCCTCAATATTCATTTCATAATTTAACATTTGTTAAGACAGTATTACATATTTTAAACTTCTGTAAAAGTATAACCTACAAGTACTATATCCTTAAAGATTTAGAACTTATTTTAGCTCCAAGTCATGACCTATACTTGCCCAAAATCATAAAGCTTGAAAGGATCAGAGCCAGAATTTGTCACAAGTACGGATTCACTTCCCCTTGATAACAAGGTCATGTTAACTACTGTTGCACTTGGAAAGTGGGTTGAAACAACAAGAATATCACCTTATGCATTATAAATCTATTACATCTCATTTGCATCAAGTCCAAAGCAAAGGCATTCTTTTTGCATCAATGGGGTTTTTTTCTGAACTAGTAATAACAATGCAAAAATAAAATTTCTTTTAAGTTTTTAGCTATCGTTTTAAATATCCAAACTTCATCAATAGTTGATAAAAGCCAAAGTGAATCAATTTTCAAAGCATAAGAAATCTTTCAATATACAAAAAAGTACTGATTCTTTTCTTCGGGTAAAATGAAGTTACCAAAATGGAAAGCAATCTCTTAAGAACTGTTGTTGTACCTACTTTTTAAACCATCCAGGTTATTTAAACCTGATTACAAGATTTCAATAATAAAAGTCTGATATAACAAGTTCAATGACTACTGTGGGAATTAATTTTGAATATGAGAATTAACTTGACAATGGATGCATTTGTTTATAAGTAATTAAAAATACTGTATTTTTTCCTTTCCCTTTTCTCCCTAAAACTCTTCACACTTTTGTCACCTACATTTTTTTTTTTTCAGTCTTCCTTTCTTTTCAATTTCCTAAGTGTTCATTTGCTTCTAAGAGTTAGGAGGCTAAGTCTTTACCTCTATGAAAATTCTTAAATTAACTCAATCTCAATTCTGAATTACTTTTTTCAATTTTTATTTTTAAAAAATTCACATGCAGCCGGGCATGGTGGCGCACGCCTGTAATCCCAGCACTTTGGAGGCTGAGGCAGGAGGATCGTTGTGAGTTCGAGACCAGCCTGGGCTACATAGTGAGTTCCAGGTCAGTCTCGACTATATAGTGAGACCCTATTTCAAAAAAACAAAACAAAAAAAAAATAAATAAAAAAAATCACATGCAAGTGAGAGTGTGAAACTAGCAGCTAAGAAATAGCTCTATAGCCACACCATAAACAGAACCCAGAAAAAACATATTATCTCATGAGTAATCATTTGAAGCACTATTCAAAATATGACAACAGGATATCCCTTTTTAGAAATCAACAATGTAAACTCAAGTTTTATGTATCCCCAAAAATAGTTTGCCTATAAATCAGTAAGTCTTAAGGTAATGACTGGAGAGCACTTGTCTTAAAAGGAAAAAGATGCTCAAATGACTAGTGCCTGGAAATGATTCAAAAGCCAGTGTAAGCCGGGTGCAGTGGCTTACACCTGTAATCCCAGCACTCGGGAGGCTGAGGCAGGAGGATCGCTGTGAGTTCGAGACCAGCTTGGGCTACATAGTGAGTTCCAGGTCAGTCTCAACTACACAGTGAGACCCTGTCTCAAAAAAACCAAAAAACAAATAAACAAAAAAACCAGTGTAATCTGCCATGAGCTGAGGCACCGTAGTTTCAACTCTGCCTGGCCAGAACTCATCGTAAGACAAAGTAAACTCTGATCTGGACCATATGATGCTTCACTGTACTGTACTTTGCTAAAATCTCACTGGAGGATTTGCAGTATACAATGCATAAATGCTTCAAAAGAAACTTGGTTATATGAACTGCGGAAAACAAAGAGCTTTTCCCCTTATACAACGGAAGCTCTGCACCTGAATTCCACAGATATCGAACATTTGTGTGGCTATCTTTTCTAAGTAGGGCAGGGATTTATATCTTGTTCATTCTTATAAACCCAAAATGCAGCATTAGTGCACAGCAGTACACAGAAGGCATTAGGTAAGTGGAGAAGTCACATATATTTATATGTAGGGCGTGAGCTGTTTGTGGAGAGATACATATCACAAGTAAAACAAACCACAGTCCTTTGTCTCAGCTGCAAATGTGTTTTGAAATTCATAATTTTGGAAACATAGCCTGGAATTTACACTATGATAAGTGAAATACAGACAGTATCCTGCAATTAGGAACATCTAATACTTCTGCAAGAAAAACTAATACATCCACTCCATGGGGTAAAACTAAATCAATGTGTTTGTATTTGCAGCCGCCTTATCAATGGATTTTGGAATTACAAAGGTAAATAAAATAAAACAATTAAACATAAAAAGTAAAAATTCATTCTAATCTGGAAAGCAACTTGAGTACAGCAAAAATGTCTGCTTTACCATAATCTCACCTCCCCAGTTAAACATTCTAACCATAGCATTGTTATACTCATTTATGCGCACATTAAAAGCTTTAATCTATAAAATTTAATTAATCTGTGCACAGGACATCACTCTAAGAATCAACGGATTTAATTTGTGTAAAGAGCCTAGTTCTCAGTGCAGTTTACACATTAGCCATTACTATTTATGCTCCAGTTACAACCGATTTGGGGGCATCCCCTTCAGCAGTAATCTTACCACAGTCTTCACTGAGCTCCACAGGTCGTGCATGCTCCACAGCAGAGCAATAATAAAACGGTGCAAACATACGTGTTGTATTCATGTTGCTTACCAGCTGAGAAACATCAATCTACAACAAACAGCTACAGTCTTTTCAGGATCACCTGTTTTACTCTACTCCTAGTCATAAATGTACTCCTTTCCCTTAGCTCAGCAACTGTGCTTAATTTTTAAACATTTCCTTAAAACCCCATTTCACTTCTTTCATCACCAACCTTCCCAGCCATAAGAGATATGTATGTACAAGATTATACTCACAAACGAACCTTAAAAACTCAGACTCCATTAAGAAATAAATTGAGTGACTGAATCTGACCTAAGGTGAAACACAAATGAGTACCTTTCCATAGTAATTCCAGCCCTGGAGGCGCTAGATAAAATGGCAGTCAGAGCAATTTGGGAAGGTGTATATAGAAGATAAGCATCCGTCAATGAAATTCTATTAAGAAAGTCATCTGCTGTTTTCCTCAAAATCTCTGGATTCTCCAGCATGGGATAGCGGGTCTAGAAAAAAAAGTTAGCAGATGTTACCATTTCTGAGAGTTTAGTGCACTAGTAACAGTTCGAGAATATTTATACTACCCAGAAAGTGCTTCACACAGAATGCTTTATAAAAGTAATTCCTTTCCTATACAAAAACTATCTCACAATCTTCTTAGTAAAAGATTGTTTTGTATGTACAATTAGAATGCAGCAAAATTACCATCACTGAATTCTGATCTTTTAATCATGTCTTCTCTGATATTAATTACTCTTTTTTTTAGCAGCTCTCAAAGTTTTTGAACACAAAAAACATGTTTTTTATGAACACTAAAAATCACACGCTTTAAGCCAACATCTACAGTTACTGGCACAACAGTGCCTGACAGTATTCAAATCAAAATGAATGTTAATCCTCTTCGTCTTTTCCACGTGAGAAGGGAGGGAGGGTAGGTTCTGGAGATTCCTCTGGATATAAAGGAGACCTAGGAAATACTCCCGGAGAGACCTCCCTGGAAACCCAGATGATTCCGAATGAAGGTGACTTTTAGGGACCCTGGTACCACCTCCCTTTGATATGAAATTCATTCTAGCGTTTACTTTTGGGAAGAAGTAAATGGAAACAAACTGAACCTACCAGATTTCTCCAAATAACAGGATTTTCAAAATATGTCCAAGAATATGGAAAAACACATATTTCCTGACAATTTTTCAGGTCCTTTAAAAAATCTTGTCTATGCGTGGACTAAAACACCTCATTGAACTGTGTGGTCACACTCAGGCTTGTCACTATCAGACGCCCGACCTTCGCTATGACAAATTCAGGCCTTGTCCCAGGACATCAACTCAGGTACTCCACAGCTGTTCTCCCTCCTCAGAACCTGTCCCATGCACCAGTGTTCTCTTGTCCTCCCTGCCCGCTCCCCGAATCCATTCCCTGCTCCAATGGACTGCCAACACACCTGGCTAAAGTTTAACAGTATCTGAGCCCAACCCACCTTCTACTTTGCAACGATACCAACTTCTGAGTACTTCTGGAGAAAACCATGCAGCCAGAGGTTCGGTAACATTATTATCGATTCCTGTTCACTGACCCCAGTCTGTTTCTTAACACTGCTTAGCAAAGATGCAGTTTTCAAAGAAAATGTGTTTCCCCTTTCTCACTATGACAAACACTGTCAACCTGTCTCAGGAATTTCCTGATTATCAGGAAATTACAATGGAGCTGAAAAATTCTTACCATTTAGTGAGGTCCTAGCCATAGCCAAATCCTAGCACAAAGCACTGCCCACAGATTCACAGTGACGCTGGGGCTCAAACCTATCATACAACCAGATTGGAGAAAAGCACAGTGCATACAATTTTGTACAGAGCAGAATACCTGATAACGATAATATACAACTGTGTTAGTGGTTTCTAGTGTTATTGTACTTTATCATTGGAGTGTATTCCTGCTTATAAAGAAACAAGTTAGTGGTAAAGGAGCCTGAGGCAGCTCCTTCAGGAGTTATTCAAAGAGGCCTTGCTATTAGAGATGACAATCATGTGCATGTCACCCCCACCCCCTGAAGATCTTTCAGTAGGACAAGAGGTGAAGGTGAACAAAAATGATACTGATGATCTCCCCCCTCCTGTGTCTTAATTTTTAAAAAGAGAATTTTAAAAAGTTAAATTTGATCTAGGGGTGGTGATATACACCTATCCCAGCATTCTGGAGGCCAAAGCAAGAGGATCACAAGTTTGAGCCCAGCCTGAGAAACATGGTGTGTTATGAGAAATTTTGCTTGAAAATTATACATGGGCTAAGGATCTAGCTCACTGCAAAGGCCCTGGGTTAAATCCACAGGAACACAGGAACACAGGAACACAGTAACACACATTCACACCCCACCCCATCGAGCCTAGAACCGAGAAGTACAGCTGGCTGTATCTTCCATGTCTGCTGCAGTGTACTCTATGATGTTCACACAAGATGAAACCACCTCACCAGTCTCTCAGGACACACCCACCATCACACAGCTCAGGCCCACACTTGTCTCTCACTTCCAATCTATTGTCTCCGACGGGCAGCCATCTGGTGGACTAATTTCAACAAAATCACAAATGACCTTTGTGGCACTAAATCCGGCATCTATTACTAGGTCTATTTTTCATCAACTTAACTCCTGTCTTTGGATTCTCCTCAGTTTTTACTTAATAGCTTCCTTACTTTTCCTTTTAAAAGTTGTTCTCAGCCCATCCACTCTGAACTCTCCTGAGCAAAGATAATTGAAGTGCACACCTCAAGCCTCGCACATCTTCCGACCTCCAGATGTAAACTACCCACTGGATGTCTTGCAAACAACCCTAATTCACTGTGTCCCAAACCAAATCCATCCCCCTCCATCATCAATAAAACACTCTCACGCGGCACTGTCAGTCAGGGTATTCTCAAGCCAGAAATTCAGGATTCCTCCTGTCTGTACCCTACAATTGCAATCAAGCTTCAAGTCCTGAGTCCGCCCACCATCTCTCTTTGTACTGCCCATGTCAAGCCCAGCACCATCTTTCCGCCGGGTCTTTTCCAATAGTGCTGTTATACCTTCACTCTTTCTAAGCCATTTTTCACAATATTCACGACATATACAGACATGCAACAAATCAACTGATGCAGACTGACACAGGAGGAAGGCAACAGGACTTTTTCAAGCTGCAAACCCAATCATAAGCCTTTTAATGGCTTCCTTGCCCTCTAATAAAATCTGACATTGTATCAGTCTCTTCCTTCCGCAGAGGCAGTGACACTTGGATGCACTTTTCCTCCTGTAATTCTAGGTCCTGTTTAGTTCTTAACGTACCATGAACTTGAGCCTTTTAGGAGGAAAGTCTTTTTCTCTCTGGATGCTCTTTCCTTACCTAATTGCTATTTTTACTCTGAATTTCACCTTAAATGATGTTTTCTCAGAAAGGCCTTCCTTATTGTTTAACCTATCTCTAAGTTATTTTGTATTCTTCCTCTGTAAATTTAGCACATTAAATTCATAATGACTGCCTGAACTCAGTCTGTTAGGTCCATGAAAGCTGAAAGCACTCCTGACTCCTTTCTGCTTATTTCTTCAGGCACTCCATTTGGCATACAGAAGTCATCCAATTGCACTGCTCACATGAAATGAATAAGCCACTTTCTTTGACTTCTCAGGCTACCTGACAATCTATTCTTTTTGTAAATTTTTACTTATACTTTTGATTCTTGTAGTTGTAGCTCATGTTCACAAAGCCTTAACAGTATTGGCTCTTTAACAGGTCCTGATTCACGATAATACATGTCAGAGTTAAGAGAGTTACACTAAGTTCTTAAAAGCATTCTCTAAACTCACAATGGTCTTTATTATAGTCTTTGGGGTAGGATTTGCAATCACTAAATCAGAAACTCACTGCCCAACAATCTGAGGTCAAGCTCTCCTGGTGCTTCAGATGCACAGTAAAGTCTGAAAACTATGACCTTACAGGGCCAGTCAGATCCACTGGTTGTACACTTTTGTTAACAATTTAGGACAAGTTTTGGATTCATCTACGATACAACAGCAAAGAATTCACTCAGTAATTTACCTTATACCAGTTAAGTTTACCTTTATATCAATGAGGAAGCCCTCAAATGGTCTGTAGGGATTGTGGACAATAAGGTGAAAATTAAGTTGTTGTATAAGGAGTAGTTCATATTCCAAAATCTGTTCCAGGGCCTTCTCCTGTCCAAGGGGACTCTCCCGAAGGTTTCCGACAAACTGAGGACTAGACACGTTGAATTCATCTACTTTGCAGGCCAGAAATGCACAGGTAAGCCTAGAGGATAAAACAAGGGACTGAGGAAGGACATCATATACCTTGAAAAGCATTGTATTTCTAAAAGTATTCTCAAAAATTGCCTAATATTCATAAACGACTACACTACATTTTGGAGAAAGGTTTAAAAGAAAGGGAATTCACCTTCCTATCTTTATCCATTAAGAGACAAAAAACTATAAAACTGGTTGAATGATTTACATCTAGCGTGCCACAGTGACTGGCAGCAAGTTCCTGATGACTCCCACACTAATTTTATCTTTATCCATAGGCACAGTGTTTAGTAGAGAGCAGAAACAAATTCAGCTGCGTACAGGAAATGAGTACAGGATCTGCACACTGAACGGATATGGAAAGAAGTCACCACACAACTTCAACCCAAGCTGAGGTGCTCTTTGAACCTAACTTTTCTCCCACAGGCATGTGGTACATGTATGTACTCTTCTCTTTTTAACTCTTCCATCCACATTTCATGATACAAATACTTTTATTCCTGTTTTCACTTTGCTTTTGTTGTTTCCCCAATTTTAGGTTGAACTATGTCAAACTGCCACTCAGTTTGAAAAGAAGAATCCGAGTCTATGTTGCCCTTCTATAGGAAGGAAATTCTTTCACACGGAACACACACAGTGCACAAATATCCAGAGCAGAAACATCTTTAATAAACACAATAAATCAGACAAACTTATACTCACATTATTATCCGGGGGTGATATTCCATTACAGAATTATTAAGATAAAAACGCTTGAAATACATACACGCTGTACCCTAGGGTTAAAAAAAAAATGTTGTGAGGATCTATTTGCATGTGTTACACGTTCAATTTTGTGAAAAGGAACTTTATACAAAGGTTTCTTTGAAAAGGTCCTTCATAAAAATACCAATACATTACTTCAAACATGTACCAAGATCTGAGATAGCGCTCCTCCATGTTCTGGCCTCAATTCTACCACTCACTGGTTCAGTGTTAGCAGGGCAAATCATCTTAGTTTTTCTTTCTCTATAAAATGCACAGGTCACAACTTGTTTAGCAAACCTTCAAATTCTTTTGACTGTGAAATGAGAGTTTTAATACTTTGTAAGATGTAACGACTCATGAATTAGGGCCTTTTTAAAAAATGCACAACAAAAACTAAACAAATATACTTTAGATGAATTGTGTGGCAAGAGGATTGGGAGTTTACTAACTTACAAGCGGTCAGATTTCATAAACCAGCTAAGGGACACTGTACATCATCACTACTGTTAACTTACCACAACAGACCGTGGCATTGCTGGTTTAAATACTGAACAGAATTCCAATAATCTTTTCTCATAGTATTTACACAGAGTCAGTTCTTCATGAGGCTCAAGAAAGACTGGATCGTTTGGAAGAACCTTTAAAACAAAGACAAAAATTAGGACATAAGTTCAGTGAGCTAACTGTAAAATTGTCTTCTTTATCCTGATTTTATAGCCACAGCAAAGCAAAATATACCACAAATAATTTTCTCTTTAATCCTTTTTTTTTCTGAGACAGGGTCTTGGTATGTAGACCAAACTGGCCTTAAAATCATAATTATCCTTCTCTTGCTGCCTCCAGAATGCTGGGGTTACAGGTTTGCGCCACCACGCCCAGCCATAATTTTCTCTTTATAGGTGTGCTAAGCGCTATATAAAAGAGCTTTGGGAAAATATCTAATAAGGTAATCTCTACCATCATTTCACAATTCCTCAGAATGTCAGCTGGGCATTTGCTTCCCTGAGGTAAAATGAAAACAGAATGTGCATATGCTCTTAGGGTTGTCATAATTTGTAAATTTAAAAGACACATTTTCAATCCTCAGAAAACTTTCAAAATCCCTTTCTCAATCACTGTTACAAAAATCTGAGGTAAAGAACAACAGAGTTTCAGGGGTTTTATATTATTTTAAGCTGCTCATTTAAAGGCAGCTCTAGGAAACTAACCCAGGTGCTAACCTCAGTGATAGGAAGTCAATATAAAAATAAATTAGCACAGTACCAACAGGCCTGAAGGCACAGAGGACAGTACTTGCTTACAGCTTGCAGGAAAGATGAAATCAGGCTGAGAGCTATGGAAGAAGGGGCTTGGCTAACAGGCCATGGTTCAAACCATCTCCAGGCAACCGGATGGGTTTGAGGATCACACGTTTCCAACCCACTTCCCCGAGGCTCTTTCTAGAACTGTGATCTGATGAGGTTCACTTTCCCTTTCAAATCTTTCCAAAGTTCCCCAAGGTTTCCGTGTAAATCCCAGCTACTGTACTTATTTTTGCTTTTAAATTCCTTGCCCACTCTCCGAATCTGCCGCTGTCCAGTGACTCCACGCACTTGTCCTACGCCTTCTCATTTCTGCTTTGCACGCACGGCTCTGTCTCCAATGCCCCTTTCTTCTCTTCTCCGGACCAACTACCGAAAAGAGCTTCCCATGCCATCCTTGCTCGACCAAGTGAACAGCGCTGGCCCGCGCCACAGCATCCTATAATCTCTTCCTCCCCGCTTTTGAAAGACTTTTATGGTCCACGCCTGAAGCCCCAGCATTTGGGAGGCTGAGGCAGGAGGATCACCCCAAGTTCGAGGCTAGAATGAACTACACAGAGAGACTCTGGCTTAAACAAACAAACAAACAAACAAACAAAAGACATTGTCCGTCTGCCGCACGACTGGGGGGACGGGGTTTTCCCCGCGTCCCCAGGCCGGGCAGCGCTCGCCCGTGGACTCCATGCGCCG